GGAAGCTTGCACTTCCTAAAATGGGATCCTCAAAACTCTCGTCTAATTGCTCCTTTGGGATTGAGGGCTACAGGGATGAACATGGTTTCGGGTGGTCTTGGTTTTCTCCACCTTAAAAGAGACTGTTGGCAACACCTTGTACTTTGCCCGTGCTGACTCGTCTGCAAATCCTTGCTGCAAATACAACGTGGTCCAGGTTCAGATCCCAGTTTGAGGACTGAGGAGCCAATGGATGATGGGACAGCAAAAGGCAATGTAGGAAACAGTGACAGTAAAATAAAGCTTGGAGAACTCCAGCCATGGGAAAGAGAGGGAATAGGACCAAATTTCAGTGTGTTCAGAAAGCTGGTAAGTGGGAGCCTATGGGCAGCAAGTCAGAGAGATGAGGCTGCCTGGGGGAGGGGCTATTTTCTGAAGTGTTGCCATCCTCTAAGGGACGAGAGAACAAGGTGGTGGTGAAGGAGACAGCAAAAGCAGTAAAGGACAAACACAGCCTTACAAGCCCTGTTATGACTTAAAACTCAGCAGGGCTTGTACACATAGGACAAAGCGTGACAAATTTCTAGGCTAGCGTGGATAACTAGAGGACAACTGCTGCTGAATGTTTAATGCTGTGTCCTTTCAACCTTTACTTGTTAACAAATGGCCCAAGTAGTCAACAGTGGTAAAGGCAGGATGAAACTGCACAGGAAGGAAGTGCTAAATTATGTAGGAAAGTAGCTGCTTACAAATTATCTGAAGTAACAGGGTTTACTCCAAAGTACTCAAGGAACTGGGATATACCATCTTGGTGCTGTCATCAAATACCCTGGGACTCTGGTGGGAAAGAAAGTGCTTCCAGAAAACCAGAAAAGCACCAAATTACTGAGTAGTGGTAAGAGCTGGCACAGATCTGACAACAGCAACCCATGTTAGGTGGACTAATTCCCTTCTCATCAAAATATCCCTTGTTATTCACCCCTATCCCCTTGCTACCTCCAGTGCAGCCTGCCTCCTTGACACTCCTTGGTCCTCTTTTCCTCTCACCCTGTATCGATGGCATCCTTCCTACATCCACACCTTTGCACCTGCTTGTGCTGGAACATCTACTTTTGTTTTTCCACCAAGACTTTCAAACCATCAGGGTTTCAGTGAGGACTTCAGCACCTTCAGCAACTGCTGCCTCCCAACCACTGCACCTTCTGTGGACTTCACCAGTGGACTCCCCCATTTCCCTCCACATCTTCCACAGAGTGTGAAGGAGCACAGTTAGGATGCAAAACATGTTTGAGGATGCTTCCCCATTGCCTTGGAAACGTCAGCCAGTTTTTGCTCTGTTTAGTGGGATATACATGGATTTTGCATTATTTTAGTTTCTCAAGAAGGCTGTTATGTTAACTCTCTATGCCAATGAAATGTGCAGTCTCATCTGAAAAGTCTGACAGTGCATATTTGCTTTAAATTCTTGTTAATTGGCGTTACTTACATTCCCCCCAACTTTTAATGAAATTAAACAAATCCATTTTATTAATGAATTGAGTTCTCTATTAACTTCTTAACTATTTCTACCCATTATTTTGTTTGGGAAGAATGTCAGCTTGACAACTCAGTATTTATTGAAGTCCTTACTTTTCTTCTTTTCAATTATTTACATGATAGTTTTCTTCTAGCTCTCTGAATTCAAGACCAATGGACCCTTTGGGCACCTGTTTTGAAAGTGTTTGTGCAAAGCTACCTGCATAGGTCTCATACAGTCTCTACCTGGGATGAAATTCTAACCACTTCAAGCAGCAAGCACTCTGTACCAATGTACCAAAAAAGAATTCTTATTTTTCCCTTTAACACAGAATATTTTTAAAGAAACAGTTGCACTAAAAACGTTATTTTTTTAATGAGTTAAAGGAATACCACCAACACAGGGCTCAGTAACTCTTAGAGCCCATATCAGAACTACTGTTAGATACCACCTCTGCCATGGAGTCCTCAGGCTCATTTTTTCTCCCTCTTAAAACAGGAAAAAATGGTCAGAGCACAGAGACACTGAAATTGTCTGGGGAACTACCAGGGACACACAACGATGCCTGGAAGGGTTTAGTTATTTATAACTCCTCAAACTGTGGCTTCCAGTGTCACCTCTCCAGTCCCCATTTGCTGCCCAGCCCTGGAGGCACCTGAAACTTCTACACACATCACTGGGTTCTCTCCACACCTTGTGTTCTGCAGGTCATGCCCAAAGGCACCTCAGTCATGACAGACCTGAGCTGGTAGCCACCTAGTTTACTAAGCTGACTAAGTTGACTGCTGAGCTTACTTTACTACCTTATGAATATTTATGAAGCACCCATGGGAACGGGCCCTTCCATTTCCCAAAAGACAATGGTAGCTGTCAGGGCAGGAGAAAGGCTTCACCTGTCTCCACCAGTGTGGGTGTCTCACAGGTGTTGCACAGGACTGTCAGCTGAAGGTGTGTACCAGCTGAACTTGACCTGTCTTGCTGTCTGACTCGTTCATGGGAGCTTTCCAAAGAACAGGGCATGCTGCAGACTCAAACCTGACAGAGACCTCAGCCACACTTTAGAAAAAACAAAACACAACCTCCTTTCCCCCCCTCCACTTTTCTTGCTCTAGAGCTGTCCCTGAGTCACTGCAGTGAGAGCCTGCTGGACTTACAGCCCAGAGTTTATGGAAGAAACCCTGATTTAATCAAAACAGGTGATGGCTTGCATGAAGTTGTAGAAAACTGCTCAGGGCTAGAAGAGAAACAACCACTACCTTCCTCCATCTAACCCTGCATGGATAGGTGTGTGCAAAGTAACCTAAAGCAGCATCCACCTCCCATTCCCGAGTGCTATAGCTCTCCTAACCTTGAAGGACTTAAGAGACATGGACAAGAGGGAAGCAAAAAGGAACATGATTTGGGAAGGACCCTGAGCTATCAAGGGCAAGAGGTCTTCTCTTCTAACACACTGAATTTTGGCAGTCCCGTTGCTTCATACCATTGCTTGGGGCCTACTCTTTGAACACCTGTGAAGAGGAAAAGCTGTTTCTCCACAGTGCTGCTGTGCACAACAGACAGCTCCCATCACTACTTGACTTTGGTGAGACCTCACCTGGAGTTCTGACTCCCAGGTCTGGAGTCCTTGATATGGACCTGTTGGAGCAGGTCCACCGTAGGCCACAAAAATGACCCGAGGGCTGGAACCTCTCTGCTGGGGAGCCAGGCTGAGAGAGTTGGGCTTGTTCAGCCTGGAGAAGAGAAGGCTCCAAGAAGACCTTCTGGTGGCCTTTCAGTACTTAAAATGGTGCCTATAAGAAAGCTGAGGACAGTCTTTTTAGCAGGACCTGTCGCAAAAGGACAAGGGGTGCTGGTTTTAAACCAAAAAAAGGGGAGATTTAGACTGGAGCTAAGGATGAAATTTTTGATGCTGAAGGCAGTCCCTGGCCCAGGCTGCCCAGAGAGGTGGTCACTGCCTCATCCCTGGAACCATCCCAGGTGAGGTTGGCCGGGGCTCTGAGCAACCTGCTCTAGCTGCAGATGTCCCTGCTCAGGGCAGGGGGATCAGATTAGATGACCCTTAAAGGTCCCTTCCAACCCAAACCAGTCTATGATCTTTCTCATAGGGAGGTGAAAAGCAAACACCACGCACCAAAATCATGTGGTGGGTGCCAAGAACACAGAACCTGATCTAAACCCTTCCAGCAGAAGCCCCTCTCCCCACTCATATTGTGTCCAGGCACACAGATGACTGTAACAGGTAGAGGGGCTGGATTCTCAGAAAAATCATTTATTTACCTTTTGCCTGATGATCAGAATGGAGACACCAACCTGTGTGAAAGGGGCCATAGCAAAGCTCCATTTCAGAAGTCTGCAGAGCAGCCTCAGGTGATCAGCAGCTTTCCCATGAGTGAATCCACCCTTTAGAACACTTAACCAACCAATTAGATCACTACCTCCATCTAAGGATTTTTTAAATTATAGCTTAAAACTTTCTCCCTTTGTAATCACTGATCTTACTTATCCCCCAGCACACAGTTACAGGAGAGGTATGGCAGGAGCTGGCACCCTCACCTATTACACAGCATTCTTCTCTTCTTTTGTGCTGCTCTCCAGGTTCTCTCAGTTTTTCACCAGCCTTTCAGAATTTGATCATTTCCTGATTTCTCTTAAAAGTCCATTTCCTGTGTTCCTGCAGAAACCAATTTTCTTCTCAAATGAGAGGTCTGCCTCTGTAAACTGAGTCCTTTTCTGCCTGTTTTTCCAGGAAAAATGGCTCAGTGAGGTTTTTTTAGAACCTTCAGCAAATTTAGCTGGTTTTGCATGCTCAGAGTTAGCCTTGTGATTTAAAAAAAAAAGAAAACAAAAAACAGGTTCAGACCTCTGGATCCTCACTAACATCAGCTGTCAGAGCAATACAGTATACATACAGGTATGTATGGAAGGGAACTCACCACTTGTGCTGACAAAGGCAATATAGGCTCCTCTATCATCTCCACTTCCAGAAAGCACCACTCCTGCCATACTCCCTCTCTTAAAATTCTTGCAAATTATTGACTCACATGTATTCTATATGCATCTCATGAAAATAACAGAACTCTTATTTTTAACTGTCCTGTTAACGTTGGGTCTAATTAGATTCTTGTGACTTCAGGACAGGAGTAACACACTGAAAGCTTTCACATCCTGGGGGCTCTCTGCTTTACAAAACCAGTGAAGTAACTGGGAGTCCTCCTGGAAGAGATTCCAAATCATACCAGTCTGTATCTGTAGCACTAGGCACTCATTTTGTACCAGTTAATGTCAGAAGAAAAAGCAAAAATGGCCACAGCAAGTACATTTTGAATTGTCTTTCCTAAGCTGCTATCCAGGCCTAAACAAATTCAAGCCAACATGTTTGTGAGAGAAGTGACCTCTTTTGGTTTTTCTCAATGGAAATTTTTAAGCAAGAAGACAAAGTACAAATCCTAGAGAATATTTATTTTCACTGTATCAAGACATTACTCTCATTAACAGCCTGTTTTACTAAATACAAAACTCATTCACAAGCAAATTAGTCAAGTAAGGTTTTGTACACCATAGGTGCAGGTGCTTTGGAATTCCAGATGTAGTAATCAGAAGAAATCAGTTCCTTGGCTGAAAAAAAAAAAAAAGGCAAGAAAAACAAGTATTACAGGGTACATTACCATCACACATTCCTTCATCCAAGTTAAGAGACTACTAATCCATCCTTACTAGTTTACAGAAAAGGTATAATGGCCTCTTTAAACTGTAAGACTCTTATTATTATTTGAAAGCCGTTTCTGATAATGAGACATTTAAAGTCTCAGCTTCAATTACCTTTACTAATGTATCAGTCATGAGCTTAAAATTCAAACAGAGGTTAAGTCAAAGGCAGGTGGATGGCTTGGATTTTGTTCAATGAATATAAATTGCATACTCAATATAAAACACAGTACAAAAAATGTTGCTGTTTTGTGTTACAATTTAGGTCTGAATGTGACCTGTCACAAAATTTAACAGTGTAAAACACAGTTTTCAAAAGGCATTTACAGACCTCTGTTTATGTGACTGACAGAATTTGCAAGAGATAGACAGCTACACATAAAAATGCTTCCATTAGACAGCACTGCTCAGGTTGAGTGCCTACTGTGTTCCCACTTTGTGTATTTTTGGTGCAGACTTAAAAGTAGCCATATGTTAACTCAAGAATAAGCAGATTTGGTTTCTGCTCCACAGATTCACTGCAGAGACACATCTACCAAGGGACGTCGGTGGGATGACACTGACAGCAACAGTCCCACCTTGTGTGCAGGGGCAGAGTTCTGTACCTGGGTGTTGCCCCAGGAAAAGTTCTGTCATTGTGCAGAGTACAGTAAAACTACACACAGTGAAGGGGAGAGAGCCCAAGACAGAGGCTGACTTTGTAACTGAGTAACAAGAGCTTTCATCCCAAAGGGAGATGCCAGGGATTCTTTAAGCATCACAAACGAAAAGAAAAATTACAAAGTAAAGAACAAAATTTCTGGGATGCCCCAAGCAAACCAGGAAAAAGCTTTGTCCAACTTCAGCTAAGTCATTTTAGTCATTGGCACCCAGTTTGTAACTTCAATACGTAGTTAAATAAATTACGTTTTTAGCAACTCACATGCAGTAATTTTGGGTTTTCCTGGTACAAAGATCTGAATAGAATGCTGGTCTACATAGCATCCAGTAAGCGTAAAGTCTGGGATCCTAAAATACAGCTAGAGAAAGAGAGGGGAAACATGATCAGATGCTTGTTATGCTCACTGAGCAATACTGGCAATCTGTGTTACATTTCTTGGCGTGCAAATGTGCTTCAAAATGACAGGATGTCAAATCCTGCAAGCAAGAGAACAGAAAACTCCACACTGAGAACAAAGAGGCTAATAATTACATCTGACTTAAAATCAACAGATCTTCAGAGGCAATTTGAGATAATAAAAAAATGACTGTTAAGGTCTCTTTTCACAGAGCCTGTGACTCACTTTCACATAAGCAGTGTTCCCAGTGCAAACATAGTCAGTTGGGTGCTCTTTGCCTGCAGTGCCAAAAGACATGGTTCCAGTCAGAGAAACTTCCAAAGATTTAGGGAACTTCTGTCCTAAAGCCAGAAAGGGGATCTGTAAGAAATTACAGAGCTGTGCCCACACTACACACAACTGACTGGGGAGGAAGTGAGTGCACGGGGGTGTCCTGCTTACCAATGACCCAAACCAGCAGGCTCTTCTCTCGTGATAAATCCAGTTGCCCATAACTAACTTTGTACTCTAATTGAGCGATTGGGCCCCTGTGGTACATAAAAAAATAGCAATTAATACCATTCAGTATTCATTAATACCTGTTTTGGTAAAAAAAGCAACAAAATGCTGAGAGACACTATTTCTTTGTGCATGCAGACAAATTGTACCTAGCCGAGCACGCTGCTCATTTAGGTAAAGAAATTACAGAGCAGGAGAAAATCACTGTGGTCTCAACCTAGTAATCATAAAAGAGCTGTTGATGTTAGTTCACTGACGGCGTTTTACAAACACTATGATCAGCATCAGCAACTTGGTATCATTTCATCTTTAAATTTTGGTGATAATTACACGACAGCGTAGTCCTGGCAGTGCTCAGAGAGGCTTAAATCAACACTATCGTTTTAATTTGAAATAACTATATTTTTTATAAGCTTATCTGTGGCTAGGATTAGCAGTCTTAAGGAACAGGTAACCCTGGGTTGGAAGTGATCTTGAGACTTAATCCACCTGGGGGATTGTAGCAGTGTTCCATGTGAAAAAACACCACGGGGAAGCAGGATGTGCAGCAGAGGTAGTGAGAACATTACCAAACACCCTGGAAATCACAGGAATTCCAAGGGGGCTTCCTGACATTTGGCAGGTCAGTGTCTATTGGTAGTACCTTGATGGAGCACCACCACAGAATCACAGAATGGTTTGGGTTAGAAGGGACCTCAAAGATCATCTAGTTCCAACCCCCTGCCATGGGCAGGGACACCTCCTACTAGAGCGGGTTGCTCAGAGCCCCATCCAACCTGGTCTTGAACACAACCAGTGATAGAGCAACCACAGCTTCCCTGGGCAACCTGTTCCAGTAACTCACCACCCTCATAGTGAAGGACTTCCTCCTCATTTCTGATCTAAATCTCCCCTCTTCTAGTTTGAAGCCATTATCCCATGTCCTATCACTACAAGCCCTTGTCAAAAATCCCTCCCCAGCTTTCTTGTAGGCCCCATTCTGAAACTGGAAGGCCACAATAAGGTCTCCTCGGAGCCTTCTTATGTTGACTCCTGACAGGTTAATTTCAGGAACATCACAAAGAAATGGAAGAAATTTGTTTAGGATTTTTTTGTTCTTACCTGTTGAAGAAAGGTATACGAGCTTCACAGTACTCGAAAGAGTTCTTTATGCTTTCATGAAGCTTCAAATTAACTGTTATTTTTAACTGTGATCCCTCTTCAGTGAGCTGGTAACACCCCAAAATTGGTGGAACAGGAACCTGGAAAAAGCTGTATTCATTCTCAAGGTAAATTTACACCATCATCATCAGATCAGTTATACAATGTTTTCATTTCCAAAGGATACAAAAAAATAGCAAGCATATTGATTCCTGGCTATGCCAAACTCTTCAGGCTGCTTGTGATACACAGACTTGGGGTATATGCACCTGAGAGTTCATCCTGGACTCATTTTGTCCAATTCAGGCATCTAAGAGGTTCATTTAAAGAGCAGCCATGCCAAGCAGTCAAAGGCACTGGCACGTCTCCAACGTGACTCAGATGACTCAAACCCTGGAGTGTCTTCCAAGCAGTTCAGTGTATTATAAACACTCTACCAGCCTGTATTGGACTGAAACTCATTCAGACACATTCCAACCACACAGGGACGATAACTCCTGCTTGAAGACTGGAAAGTAACGGGGGCCAGGGATGTTATTACCTGGGAAGTGTAGTAGCACAGGTTGAATGACTCCGAAGGAGGAATGAAAGGAAACCTGTAGGGCCCGTTATACACAGAGTCACCCAGTGGCTCTGCACTGCTGGACTCCAGCATGGCAGGGTCCACAGCAGTCACACAGTGGTGGAGCACGATGTCCTGGAGCGGAGGCCCGTATGTCGGGAGAGCCAGACTGAGGGTTACGCTTGGAGCAGAGCCCTCTATGTCACACTTGGGAAAAATGAAGGCAAGAAGTTATCTCAAAATCTCCCCCTCTGGTCAGAATTAGATGTTCAGAAATCAAATACAAGCATTAAAAAAAAAAGTTCACCCATATAATCCCCACCAGTGTGGCTGGAGGGATATAACCCAGTCTTTGGGAGCGTGGCACTTGGGTTGCATTCCTTTGGACGTGAGCATCCCACCTCTTGCAAATAATTAAATTACCATCATCCACTTTATTAAAAGGTCCTTCTCCTCTTAGAATGTTGGCAGTTACTAAAATAGAGCATACTGTGATAATTTAGTGTGCTTCCTAGAGCATAATTCACAACAAAGAACGTTAAATACATTCATTATGGAACACACAAATTTTAATGTATTTCATAATTATTCTTGATCTAGTTAGTCAACATTCCTCAATTTTTAATATTAAACAATGAAAACCATTGTCACATTAAAAAAACATTCAAAATAATTATACAACCTGTTTCTTTCACCAGATTCTGTATCATCTGTTCTTATGTCAGCCAAACAAACATTGTTTGTGGATTCAAAGTGTTTTGGTAAAAGAATGAAGTTGGATAGAAGATTAAACTTTCATTTGGGAGGAAAATTAATTAAAAATGCTCAGGTAAAGACACTTCTATAAGGCTCATTCAGAAATTCTGTTTCTAATCATTATTTAACACATTGCTTATTAGCTAGCTGGAAATAAACTTGGTGTTAGCACGATCACTTCTTAGTCTCTATATGCAAAGACTGTAGGAAATTATTTCTCTCCATTTCATTTAAAATATGGAAAAGAGGAAAATAAATGAAATGTAGCTATAGCTGGAATTTAAGTCCCATAAATAGTGACTGAAAAAATGCATGAAGCATGTAGGAAAAACCCAGCAAAGGTCAAAATAAAACCCACTAATGCATCAGTCTAATATGCAATAGTTGGTTACACTTTGAAACATCACAGTAGTTAAAATTCTTTAATGACATAGGGTAAAATGAAAGGAGTATTTACTTTCCCTGTGTGCTTGCTTGAAAAAGACTTTGATGAGACTTGCACATAAAACACTCTCACCTTGCAATTTACTGCTCCATAAACCTGCCAGGTGTCCACGACGTCTCTTCTGTCATACTGCATACACTTGACTCTTTCGGTGATACAGACATTCACCTGGGGTTTGCCTTTATAGGTGTTGGATCTCCAAGCTGGCTGATTCTCATCCGTGGGTGTCTCCTGAATGTCATCAAAGGAGCTGTTTAGGCTGCGGAGGTTTGTGTTCAAGGGGGTGCCCAGGGGACAGGCCTGTATGAGCAGAGTTCGAAGCTGGCCTATTTTTGCACTCATCTCGGCTTCGTTTTTCCGGCTTGGAGAGAGGTAGTCCACCATGCCTAACAGAAGAGCCAATCCCTGCGAGAGCCCAGCAACAGTGAGGAGAGGTGGCCGTGGCTCCAAGGTGCCCTCCACCAGTGGGAGACAGGCATAGATCAAACCACTCTTCTGAAAAGCAAGCACGGGCCAGAGATCCCCTCCCTCGGTGCGAAGCGAATACACCGACGAGTGGTTGATGCGAGTACAAGTATCTCGGTGCTCCACAAAAACATGGTCATCTACCAGCCTCAGCTCAAATAGCAAAGCTTTGAGAAAAGCACTGTCAGCTGGCACAGGCACATGTGTTGACCCGTTAAAGGTCTCGGCGCGTACTTCAACGGTGGGGAAGCGCCTGAGAGATGGAAATGAGAGGGTCTTAGTGCTGCACATCTGTTCCCACCCAAAACATCCTACCAACAGGGCTCCTAAAAGCAGACCACACAAGCTCTCTTCTGGCTGTCAGAAAATGCAAAAGCATTATAGGAAGCATTACAGGATGTTGGAAGGGCAGTAACAAACCCAGGTGTGACTCACAGCAGGGCAGTGCATCTTCACCAGCAAAGAACTTCTAAGAGCCAAGGTGACACTTAAGTTTTCAGAAAACAGGCATCCCACATAATAAAATTCAAATACAACAGCTTTTGCCTATAGTAAGCTACTGCTACAGCTTTGCTCCTCTACTAAATACTATATTTACAAGGCAGTATAGTGGAAGTTATTTATATACAGGTTTTTCATTGCTGTTTTGAGCCTATAGAATCGATCTGCAGCACTTGCTTTAATTGATTAGCAAGATTAACTAGAAAGCTTTACAACATTATAAACCCCAAAAGATTTCACTGGGCATAAATCAAGCTTTTCCAGCAAGAGCTGTACAGGTTTTGGGGGGGGAGCAAAATAGATTCTACACTGCAGGTGCAATGTATGTGACTTAAGGCTGTTATGACTGCTTCATAATTTAATTTTTTTAATTACTTTTGAGTGTTTAAGATGTAATCATGTTACAGAGATACAAGAGTTTCTATACTTTAAAATCCCACTGTGCTACATCAACATAGATATTTAATTTTAAGTTTCCTAGAAATAAAATTTGAGAAAAATCATACTGGCTATTTAAAGCTACATCTCAGATTTTTTCTTCCAAAGCAGTATTATTTTTTGAAGGAGAGGGGGATGAATTTCTTCTCATGTTAACCTAAATCCATCAAGATGAATTGAAGAGTCGTCTTTTAATAAACAGATGAGGGAAAAAAACCCACAACTTCCACTAAGGGATTGATTTTCATCCTCTTTTGGAGCTACAGGCTCCCCTGAGTGTCTCTCACATTAAGTTCCATAACAGGCTGGCTTTTCTGTGGTCTCTTCTGTAGATTCGCTTATCAGTTATGCACTTTGAAGGTCCATGGATATCACAGGTTACTCGCCAGGCAACTAGTTAAATCACTTTGATGAACCACCTTGCAGCAGATCTGTTCTCAGGCTGCATGTTTGTCTGCATTCAGACAAACACAGGAGAAAAAGTGCACAGATACATACATGCCTTAATTTATTCCCCTTTTTACACTATCTTTTTAAAGACACACTGGCAGTCTGTTGCTTAAATTGCTGTGGAACTTGTAATCCCAGCAATGTGGTGCTTTGTTTTATCAATGACCTCCATATGTGGCATTCCCATTCTGCTCCTGAACGCTTGCATGGTTCTTATCCTGTTGCCTCCAAGTCCCACCTATACCATCTCCTCATAACTGAGTAGCAGAGTCTCTTGCTGGAGGCACTTCCTCAGGCTTATCTTCAATGACTGTGCTTTTTTTCTTTGATTCTTAATCAGGCATCTACAACTTCTGTTTTTTTTTTTCCAGTAAAGAAAAAGCAAGGCTAGGCAGAGAGAAGCCAGAGCTACCAGATCTGTAAACAGGATGCAGATGACAGTAAAACACCTCCCCACAGTCTCACATCTATTTTGAAGAGCAAGGAAACTGAGTGCTTTTGCACCTTGAAAATTTGTCAAGGCTTCCCCCAAGCAAGGCTGCTGATAAGAGGATACATGTGTCCTTGACGAGCATCTCCTATTTTGGCTTGTTTTAAAAACAAAGGAAGAGGAGATATTTCAGTCCAGTTTTTGTCTTACTTGTGTCCCAGTTTGCCTGTCCCATTTGCTGAAGCTGTCCCCCACACCACAGCAATCCTCTCCTCCCACTAAAACTTCCCAGCTTTAGACAAGACATGAGGTGATCACTTAGCCCTTTAGATCTCAGTTTTTCAGTATTCCCTTCAAGAAAGTAATGAAAACTTAAAGGGATGAAAGTTTCTAGGGATGAATGGGCTTTGATGACTCAAGAGAGAGACCATACTTGTTGCCTGAATTAAGTTATGATCAGCTCAAAAAAAGTGGAATGCTTTGATGTCCCAGATGTCTTCTCTGAGGTTAAAGATCAGGGCTCACGTATCTCCAGCTGAGTGCGTAAGACCCGAAACCAATAGTTTCCATGTGATCCATCTTTCTTTGTATTGTCTGTGTGCTTTGTTGAATTTAAGGTCAGTTAGGAGGATAAACTTGGGGTTTCCACAGCCCTATTATTTCCTCTGGGAACTTGAAAGATCTAAGTCTGGAAATCACTTGGAAGTATCAAGTATAGTTTTGCCCTTTTCAAAGGAGCTATGCCTTGTCTCTGCCACTTACTGTGTGACAAGTTACTTCACGTATCCCTGTCACTAGCCCCCTTCCTCTGTGGAGATTACACTCTCAGGTATTTTTGGACAAGGCTTTCTCTTTCTTTGCATTTGTAGAGGGGAGGCCTCATCTCTAGTCCTGTGGGTAATACAAGGACTATAATACTAATCCTAAAACAATCAGAGGAATGTCCAATGTAGAGATCTGTCTGCACCTGAAGATGGAAGATAGACTACTTGCTCTTTTTTTTCCCCTTCTCCTTCTAGGTTTTCTCTTCAGTTTTACTCAATTCGGACGAGGACTGTAGGTCATGTCTATGATCCAGGTCTCAGTATTTCTCCTTCCCCTATCCC